TAAACTCAAAATACAAATTACAAATAATTACAATTTATTCTTTAAAAGGAACATAAAATGTTTCAAATATTTTATAATATAGTAAATCAAATATTTGATATTTTTTAATTATAAAACATTAAAAGTAATATGAAAAACAATTATAGTGTAATGTATAAAACAATTAAAGTAATGTAAAATGAAAGTCTAAAAAAAAAGGTATAGAACTCTTGACTAACACGTGTCTACTATAAACCATCATCATAGTCTACCTAGTTGTACCCTAGTTGCAATTCTGCAGAAAATAGGTAACGAAACCTCACTGAGTAGGCATCTCTTCTGCTTACTTGTTTTTCTTCTGTTTTTTTGTCTGGGCAGAAACACTTCTGCTTGAAAAACTTGACAAAAAGTCTCATAAACAAGCCTACTCTTGCAGAGGGCATGATGAGGTGTGCTAATTATTATTATTTTTTTATTATTTTTTTTAATAATAATTTTAACTTGGTTTATATCAATAAGTAAAGCAATCCAATGACCTATGAGGTGTGCTAATGACACTTTCTAGACATGTTTTCTATTGCTCATTTCAAAACACCAACCCTAAACATTACAATTCAGCACAGACGTTGTTCCATAATACACCTCAACATCACACATTTTTCGTAAGCATTTTTTACGAACTTGTTGTTGTTGAATATTATGTCGTTAGTGCTTTGGTGTTCCCATTTGCCAAATAATAAGGTGTCCACTGCCACCCAGAGGACATGAAGAAAATTACAGCCTGGTGTGTTTTTGCTGCTAAAGCGAGACAAGATCAAACAAATACTGAGGAAATACATTTGCTTGCTGACATCTTTAGGTCAATATTTAGCCAGTGCTGATGCTGTCAGCTGTGCAGGATACAGTTTAGCTGCCAAATATTCCCGCCACACTATGCTGATTTTTAGGATGTGACATCAGTGTTTACACTGGCGGTGTTAAAGTCATGTGCACCGCGCCCTGCTTTGCTTCAGCTTCTGAAAAAGGATGCTAGACATCCTTACTGAGAGGACAGTCTGCTTTAGTGCTGATGTTTGGCCAGGTCTGAATGGCAGAATCACATTTCATTGTTCAGATGCTGCTCTATAGCTCATTAATGAAGTTCTTAAGCCTCATTTAAGATGTTTCTCCCAAAAGGTTTCCCTCCATCACGTCTCCTGTTTTCATATGGAAGCCCATTTCTGCCACATAAGGAAACAATGCTTATAATTATAAGTCAATTATGAGATAAAGTCATAATTATAACACAAGTAGAAATTGACACAAAATATTGATTATGACATACAATCAAATTATGAGATAAAGTCATTATTATGACCTAAAATTTTCAACTAGTCAAAAAATTTGACTTTTATCTCATAATTATGGCTTAATGACATTTTATTTTCAATTTCAACTTTTTATGTCATAATGATGGCTTTTATCTCATAATTATGACGTTATATATCATCATTTTAACTTGGTCAGTTATTTAGACATAAGAAAGTTATAATTATAAAAACAATTTTTGAATTTGTATATGATCATTTAAATTTTTTTATGCCAATTAACAAAAAAAGTCATAATTAGAACATTAAAAATGTTGACTTATTGTATGTCATAATTTTGGCTTATGTCATAATGACTTTTTCTTGTAATTTTGACTTTTAATATGCTATCATTTTGACTTTACATCATTATTTTGACATAAGAAAAATCATAATTATGACTGTAATATATAATTATTAAATAATATATAATATTAAATAATATATAATTATTAAATATTTAGATTTTGTATCTTATCATTTTGACATTTTATGTAAATTATTTGACAAAGAAATCATAATTATGTTAAACATGTTGACTTCATAATTTTGACTCATGTCATAATTACTTTTTATCTCATAATTTTTACTTTTTATCCCATAGTAATGATTTTTATCTCATTTTTACTTTTATGTCAATTATTTGACAAAGATATCATAAATATAATGTTAAACATGTTGACTTCATAATTTTGAATTTTATGTCATAATGACTTTTTATCTCAGAATTTTGACTTTTTATCTCAGAATTATGATTTCTAAGTCATAGTTATGACTTGTGTCACAATTATGATTTACCAAAGCTTTTTTTTCTTTTCTTGTGACTTATGTACTTATGTAAAAACTCACTTCTTTCTATGTTCTTCTTTCCATGTCACTGGTCTCTATCTTTCTCGCTATTATAATTTTTCTTTGTTAGAATCAATTAGTTTTGTTGTGTGGGCATGCTGGGATTTCTCTTGATGCGTTTCTTTATGCTTATAAACCAGCTGTGTGTGTGTGTGTGTGTGTGTTCAGGCAAACACACAACACAGCTGCTCTCTGATTCACATGCATGTTCTCCTCTTGTCAAACAGTCTAGTAACACAGCCTTACATCATCTGGGTCTTCACCTTTCGAAAAAGCACAAAGTCTCTTGTTTTTATTACTTTGTCTTTCTCTCTCTCTCTCTCTCTCTCTCTCTCTCTCCCTCTCTCTCTCTCTCTCTCTCTCTCTTTTACGAATTACAGTAGAAGCTCCAACCAGAGCAACACAACATTACATAACTCAAGCAGATTCCCTCAGAGATCTGCTGCTTTCCAGGAGCTGTGCAGGAAAAAAACAAGCTACTCACCTTTTTAACCCCACAGGACCAGCTGCATCTGAGAAGGCAGTACTGATGCTGTCTTCTGTGCTCATTTCATGACTGATGTGGGATTTTGAGCTCAATGTCAACACAATATACTCCTGTTTTATAGTTATGTTAATGAGTCTGGTGGGTTTGGATAAACAGTATTGCACTACATTTCTCCTTCTGTGATTCATACTAGAAAATACAACATTGCATGTGCAATGCATATTTTGACATCAGTGTAAATTCCCAGTGCTCTTTCAAGCATATTTTGCAACCATGTCCTAATAGTAAAGACTGTTAATGTTTAAACTAATAATAATAGCGACAAAGACGTCCACTTCAGGAGTAAAAACAGTGACTGAAGTCTCATAAGTCAATTATGAGATAAAAAATGAAATTATGACAAAAATCCAAATTATGGGATAAAAAGTCATAATGACTTTTAATTGAACAAATGTCATAATTATGACATACTACATCAAATTATAAGATAAAAAGCTAGAATTATGATCTAAAAAGTTGAAATTGTCCAAAGTTATTTTTTTATCTTTATTTTTATAATTATGACTTACATGTCTGTTTCTTTGCAGGTTTAATTTTCAGGTTATAGTAGCAATTATTGCTGCTCACAAAATAAAATTGCCACTTAAAAGCGGCATAAACACTATCCATCTGTGTGCTTGATGTGTGCATGTGCTGGACGGTAGCTAACAGCTGGTCTTCATAAACATAATCTAATACTGCAGTAATTCAGATGAGCACATTCAGCTTTCTGTGGCCAAGTCCGTCGCTACAGACTCCGAAAAATTAATAATAATAATAATAATAATAGCTAAATGACTATTAAAAGTGATAGATAGATAGATAGATAGATAGATACTTGTCCAGACTGTAAATCAGGACCAAAAAAATTAACTTATTCCAACCTTATGTCTTAGCAAGCACCACTAATTATCTAAATGCACTTCCAGAGAGCAGTATAATTGTTGACTGATTAAGTTTCATTGCCTTGTCTCTGTAATCAGCACTGGCCCCCCACACATGGCTCCTGCGGCCCCCAGCGCCGCGCTCTCACCGAAAGTGCTCAGCAGCAAAGAATTTAAAAAAAAAGATGAATAAAGAAAAAAAAATTCTAAATTGAAGCTGATTTAGAAGCAGCTAAATTCCTCTGTCATTCTTTTTTCTGTTTTTATGAATATGTGTTTTCATTCCTTTCTTTTGGCATGTTCAGTTTTGTCTAATACTGACTCTCTCTCTCTCTCTCTCTCTCTCTCTCTCTCTCTCATCTAACTGGTTTTTCAGGTTTCTGTCTATTTACCTCACAGCTCAACCTTGTTTGGGAGTGACTAACTTTAAGCCGGGACTGGAAATACTGGGAAGTGTTGTCAGCAGCAAATATTTCACCACATCAGCCCTTACACACAAACATTCACAATCCACATAGCTGAGGAGTTTCTGTATATTATTGAATTCACTCATCATACAGCCTGCTGACGTCAACATATATTACTTAAGCTGAAAGCACAGACTCAGTGCATATGGCTTATTAACATGTCAATTTGCATGCAGCTTCATTATTGTTTTAAATGTTTAATATGGCCCAAATCAGAAGCCACCTTTTGTATTTTGGCATACGTAACGCACTGCTGATTACACCAATAAACAGTCTGACAGTGTTAAAGAGTCCAAGGACCAAAAAGAAGTTCAAGTGCTATTTTTTAATTAGGAACAATTGTTATTTTGATTGTTCATTTTGTTGGCTTGGACTTCATGTGCAAACTGGCCTCTGATTAAGCTTGGCTTTATTGTTATGGGTTATTTCCTCTTCTTTTATTTTTTTTCCCTCCTGCACTGTTGTTATTTGTATAGGAAGGCTTGCTTCAAGGCTGCTTATTGTAGTGCTAAATTTTTTTTATAAAATTACTTACAATTAAAAAAATCACCCACTTGACTCCACGTCATGACTCCGCCCACACTGCATTCCTTTGTGAAACTGCTTTATCATTCTCAAATATTCCTTGATTGCGATTTATAAGGCTACAGCTCTCTAATAATCAATTTTAAAAGCATTTAAAATACTTTTTTTACGTTATGAGTAAACTAAACGCGACCTGTATCCTACTATAGCGAAGGCTTAGCTCATAGTTATTTCTTAGCTCATGCTAACGTTGCCTGGTAACCTTCCCGGAGCGTCTAGTCACGTAACTCATTCAATATTCATAAGCCACTCCCCGCGACTCTCCGATTCGCCAAACTACTAACGCTCGCTAACAAAGCCCGCCCTGAGCCAATCAGCTTCGGCTACTTATCGTACGCCACGGCGCGTCATTAATATTCATAAGCTACGCTTTCGCCGTAGTAGGATTTGTAAATTCGCCGCGTCTCACTGTCATGCGCAACGGTGGCACTGCCATGTTGGATCGAAAGCTCGGTGCACAGGAGTTCAGATGAAAGTTTAGAGTCTCAAGACGACATTGGATAACCAAACGAGGATCGCGTTTTATTTCTGGGACACAAGACCTCTCTCAACCCACCACCGACCGAAACACACAGGTCTGATTATGAGAGTCTCCGGATCCGAGCTGCGGTGATCAGAGATCAATGAACACATATTTTCTGTTTAACACTTCCTGATCACAAGTTCACACCATCGGATTGTCTAAAATGAGCGGTCCACCTTCAAACAGCAGGCCTGCGAGCAATGCTGGCTCCATTCTTCTCACCCAGCAAGAAAACGAATTGCTCTTAAACCATCTGGGCAAGAAATGCACCGTAAGTTCTCAAACATTTGCTTGATTTCTTTGCCAGGTAGTGTTCAATCATGCTGTGGGATGTTATCGACTCGATACAGTGCTACTAATGATTCCACTGGAATGTGACACTTGGATAATCCATTAACAGAATATAGACATACACTGTATCCAGTTGACAAACACGCGCATCTGTCTGACAATGTTTGTGGTGTTTCTTTATCAAGAATGCTTTCAAATTTTCAGGTGAGCTTGTGTGAGAGACACTTTTCGAAGCAAATATGATGACCTCCGTCCTAAAATATAATGACAGCTATACATTTTTACGTTCCAGACCATATAAATGAGTCGTGTGCCTTTGCATCAATAGTTCATCTTATTTAATGAAAGATAACCATGGTAGGTGAACTTGTTTAGGAGTTTTAATCATATTGTCACACGCCTTTATGTTCCTCTCACAGCTTGATTTATTGACCTGCGTTTATGAATCCCGTCACCTGACAGCACCTATAAAACTCTTCCTCCTTCTCAAACTGTTTCGGATTCACAGAAAATAGCCCTGGTTTCCAATACGAGACACTGACCTTTACATTTCCAAGCCTACGCTATGTGTGCGATGATAATATACCAGGTTTTCATAACTAAGATTCTTATGAGGAAACTGTTGTCATTGGTGTGTCTGGTTAAACTGTCAGGAATGTAACCAAATGTTCAAGATTGGGAGGAGCAAATGGAAAAGTCATTGGACATTGGCTGATATGGCTTTTATATATAGTGCAATTTTATGCACATTACTCTAATTTTACACAATATTTACTGTATAATATTAGTACGTTTTAGAACTGACTCTAGGCAAAATGTCCATCTTGGTAACCTCGGTTGACAGACAATTTCAAAATAACTATACACTAGGCAAAATAATCAGCGCTGATGATTTATATGTTTATGGGTCAAAGATGAGACGTCCCATTTTGGTGTCTTCATCAAATAAAATTTACAAAAGTGATTTTATATACATAAAAGCATATTAAATGCAAGTAAAGTGTCTACTGTCATGTTTCAAATAACGTTTGTGAAAATAACATGTGAAAATGTGTGAAATAAGGTCATTCAGCGGAACATATTTATGTAAAAATAAAGCATAAATAAATAAATGGGAAAAAAAATATAAAAATAAAACAAGTATACTTATTAAAATATAAGTAAAAAGTAAAAAAAAAAAAAAAAAAGTAAAATTGTAACAATACATTTTATTGTATTTGAAATTATTAAAAATAATAATGAATGAATAAAAATAATGAAAATAAAAATAAAGAGGACACATAATGTATAACAAAGTATGTTATATTAAACTATATATTTTTTTATGCTTAAAGACCCTTATTCATAATAAGTTGCACCTTATTATTATGCAGCGATAGGTAATTGTTACCATTTGATCTCAAGTTTTTAGTGCACTACAGACACGTTCCCTTATTGTTTTGTTTAATCATCAGTGTAATCAGATTTCCCTCGGGCTGTTGTTGTGTAACACGCTGATACCCAAATTAGACTGGGGTTTTATCTGGGTAATGTTCAGTCCAGCTGTAGTCCATCGTTCAGTCCAGCTGTAGTCCATCGGTTTGAGTTGCCGGACTTGTCGCCCAAAATTCATAGTTTCTCTTGCATGACACGAGTCCTTGAATGCCTCACATTCCTGGCGGCGTTGATTGATGACGCTGCTTGTCATATGTTTATTTATTTTGTAAGTCTTTTTTTTTTTATATTCAAACGGCGTGTTGTGGCATGATAGAAGTGGGTGTGTTGTCCACATCTCTTTGAGGATTGAGTTTAACTGCTGTGAATCACAGAACCATGAGTTTGTGACTTGAAACTTGTCCTTTTCTTGTTAGTATCCTGCCAGTGGGTTTGCTAGTTAGGGAGCTTTAGCTGCATGGAGTTCACACACACCGACTGGAAACACAGCGTTAGTTTTAAACCGGATTGCTCGGTCAGCCCACCGTGAGGATGTGGTCCGGTGGGCCTCTGTGATTTTCTGCTGTTGCTGGCAATATGTGGTTCTCCTGCATGTGAATGTGGGGGTTGGAGAACCAGTCCATCCTCTCAGGTAGTTCCTGCTGGCCGAGTTTCTGTCATTTTTGGTTGTTTGAACTGTGAGGAAAGCTGCAAATATCCAGAAAGCCCTTTCTTGAGTGTGTAATGCATAGAGTTTGATAATAGCAAGGTCATAGATTCTTCAGCTTTGACCCTTAATATTATCCTCGCAGTGGTCAACTGTGCGAGTTTTCAGATGTCCAGTGCTGAATCATAAGAGTGAGTGGCTGATGGACGAAATAATGATTTTATATGTTTGTAGAATTGTAAAATTCTCCCCATGAAGTTGACTTATAGTGCTATTTACAAAGTAATATTTTGTTTTTTGCTGTTTACTTAATTTTTTTAGCACTTATTTTAGATCAGGGTATGTCTCTCCCACTTCGCTTCCTGTCAGCTCTGATCTGTCCTATCATAATAAAGGTGAAAATTCCAAAAATAAGTCTTTAAAAAAAAAATTTTAGATCAGGGTTTTTTTGTTGCAAAAATAATTAACCCCTTCCTAAAGTATAATGACAGCTATATAAAAATCTATTTATTTATTTAGAATGAATTTATCTGTTTAGTCAGTTACAATTTATTATTTATTAATTATTGTAGTACTACTAATCAAACTTTTTTTTTTTTTTTTTTTGCATTTCAGAGTTATAGTAAAATGTAAAGCAATACAAATTTATGTGTGGGAATTATGTAGTGATTTATGGAGTTGATGTAGTATTTATGTATAATTATGTAGTTATATAATGTTATTTAAAATATATTTAATAATTAAAATCTTGTTTCTTTAATTTTTCATTTGTTTTATATATTATTTTTCAATTTGATATGAATGTGTTTGAAACTCTTCTGCTCACCAAGGCTGCATTTATTTGATTAAAAACAGTAATATTGTGAAAAAGTATTACAAACTAAATTCACTTTTTTTCTGTTTTAATGTATTATAAAATGTAATTTATTCCTGTGATGCAAAGCTGAATTTTCAGCATCATTACTTGTTGCATGTTCCTTCAGAAATCATTCTAATATGCTGATTTGCTGCTCAAGATGCATTTCTTCTTATTATGAATGTTATTAATGTTCCTTGATATTTTTGTGGAAACTGATCTATTTTTTTATCAAGATTGTTTCATGAAAAGAAAGTTCAAAAGAACAGCATTTATTGGAAGTAGAAATCTTTTGTAACATTTTAAATGTCCTTAATGTCACTTTTGATCAATTTAACACCTCCTTGCTGAATAAAAGTAGTTATTATTTCTTTCAAAAAATAGCAGCATTCGCAGCAAACAGTGCCTCTTTTCTTTGATGTCATAAGAGTGCATGCATGAGTACATGTACATTACGTCACCAGATTTCGTCCAGAGGGCGAATTTCCACTAGCTGCAGCTAATAATGAGCGATAAGCTGCAAGATAACGTCGCACACACTCGGGTTCGGATGGATGCGCCTGACTTTGAGTAATGACTTAAATGAACTGATAATAGACGGCAGCTTCATTCAGCCAATGAGAGCGCAGAAGCCCCTCTCGCTGTGTGTGTGATCCTGCTCCTCTGGCTTTGATCTTGTTGTTAATGGAAGCTTTGAGTGTGTCTGTAACTCGCAGGCCTGCGCTTCAGCGGGTTGTTCAGACGTGTGGCGTGGCTGCATTCCTGACCGGGATCCTGGCAGGGCCGTCTGGCTTTGCTTGTCCGCTCTCCGCTTAAGTAAATCATCTGGCCCTGCATCCTGAGAATGGATGCTGATCGTTAATTCCGAAAAGTGGCTCTTTGGCAAGGATGTCTTCGTGCATATTGCAGCTATTCACTTAAAAGTGGCTGCTCGAAAGTTTGCGATTACATCACATGTCACTTTAATGGTCCTTTGTGGCTTTTCGCTCAATATTGACTGGCACTTTTGTTCTGATTTCTCGCAGCTGGTTCATCTCGGGTCAGACGGTTGATTTGTAAACTCAGCCGTTTAATTAGATGCATGTGTTGCTTCAACTCGGGTGTATCCTTGTTTTTCCTCAAAGGCGACATATTGTGTAAAGTAGGATTTTGACTTACGCTTTTTAGTGTCTATCCAGACCTTTTTATTCTGTGGAAGTAGGGGTGTGCGATATATATCGTCTGCGATAATATCGTAATTGTTGTTTTAACGATGTGCGATTTCATATTATTGAGTATTTTGTAAAAAACGGGGGCAGAAAATGTATATATTTATACCACTTCAAATAGCCTAGTTAATCAATTTCACACGAAGAGTGCTGTTTTTTTTCTCCAAAAATGACAATTATTACAAATGTGATATAGATATTTTACAACAGTTCAATAAACAAGAAGTTAATTAAGAGACTTACGTTTTAGACACCATATTTCCAGTTCAAATATCAGTATTCAAAAGATAATGGACACTTTTAGAAAAAAAATGGCTTTATAAAGCAAATGCACACTCAGCAAAATATCGTCTAATTATCGTTATCCATAAAATCCCAGAAAATATAGAGATATTATTTTTTGCCAATATCGCACACCCCTATGTGGAAGCTTATTTCCAACATGAAAATTTTTTTTAAAAAGGTCATTGCGACTTTTCTCTCAATTCTGATTTTATTTTTCGTAATTCTAAGTTTGTTTCACAATTCTCACAATTCTGAGAATAAAAGTCACAATTGTGAAAGCAATTACCTTTATTTTTTTATTACTTTTATTCAATAAAAAATAAAACGCAACTCTTTCTCACAATTTTTCTCACAATTCTGAGTTTTATACAGAATAATATATCTATTTATATATTATATCTAATATATTATATCTAATATAATATATTTATATCTCCCAATTGTGACTCTTTTTCTCAGAATTGTGAGATATAAACTCAGAATTCTGAGAAGTCCGAATAGTGAAAGTTGCAGTTACTTAAAAGTGGGGTAAGTGATTTCTGGTAGCCAATGTTGACATTTGAAATCACCAAAACAAACACGCCCCTACCCCAAAAAGACACGGTGTTACTCACCTATCGAGAAGAAACAAAGCAACCTCGGCGTCCGCTTGCAGGCCTTACGTTCCTTGAGTTCTCTCCAGCGCTGGAAAGCTGATCCGATATTTTCACGGGTCCTACTTCTTGCCTTATTGCCTTAAGCCTTCTTTGTTCCGCAGACATTTTCCTCTTTTGTTTTTTATCCGCCATCTCTATCTTTCTGTCGCTCGGCTCGGCTAATGTCCGTCCTGTGCACTGAACTCTCTCTCCTCCACATCATGAGTAGACACGCCCCTTACTGCTGATTGGCTACAAGTTTGTTTTGCTATTCGGCCCGAATCAGTTTTCTAAAGCATTTTTGGAAAATCGCTTACCCCACCTTTAACATCAGACAATTCAGACTTTTCTTGCAATGCTGAAAAAAAAGACAGTTGCGAGATAAAAAGTCGTAATTACCTTTTTTATTTTCTATCTTATTTTATTACATTAAAAAAATTGCAACTTTTTATTTAACAACTAACTTTTATTTCTTGCAGTTCTGAGCCTATATCTCACAATTCTGCACAATGTTTTCTCAAAATTATTGAATATAATCTATTTTATTTTATTAATAACTTGCATGTCATTCAGAAAATGTAAAGCTATTGATGTTGCAATCAAGAACTCATTAATATATATATATATATATATATTAGTACTAAATGTCTTGTAGACAGGGGTGCCGTAACGGAGGGGAAGGTTAGGATGATTCCAAGGGCCCTGCGAGAGAGAGGGGGCCCGGAACGCATTTTTTAATGGGAAAACCATAGCGGCGCCCCTGCTTGTAGACTTTGTAGAATTTGGTCCTTTTTGTATTACATATGCATGCTGGATTTAATTCTCTCATTCTGTGTAATATAAAAAATTATCTATGATTATATAGCTGTGCTTTTCGCCAAGAGGTTCGACTGTGGTCGTAATGTGCATAATGCGGCGTGCTCCTCATGATTAATCTGAGAGAGCGTCTCATTCACTGGCGTTGTGACCGGCAGCTTCGTGAGGAGACTGTCAAAGGCGCAGCGCTGTCGTCCTCATCGCATCCGTCCTGAGGTGTTTGCTCTGTGAATGACACTGCGCTATGATAATGCACTGCTCTACAGAGTGACCGCCGTATATCCAGAGCTGTTGAACGCCACAGTTTCTTTAAAATTGACCACTTTATGGCACATGCACTAATAAAGCAAAGATTACCAATGTTTGTTTTTAGACATGCATCATGACTCTTTAAATGGTGTATTATTATTTTTTTTTTAAATCATTCTGAAATCATACCTAAGCATCTGTTTTCACAGTAGGTTAATGTGACCTACATAAGCAGCTGCAGAATGGAATTTGATTGACAGATTTGTTTTAATTCTGCCGTTTCTTTTCTGTTTGTGTAGAGTTTGTGTTCAGCAGTGGTGCAGGTCTATGGAGCAGACAGAAACTCGTCCTGGGTGAAGAAGTGCTGTGGGGTGGCCTGTCTGGTGAAAGACAACTCTCAGAGATCTTACTTTATCAGGGTGCTTGATATGAAAGTAAGTCAACAGACACTCAGATGCTTTTTTTGATACATCTGCGCACTTTTCATTGAGCTTGGTTGTTTTCATTTGGAGCCAGACATATTGTTTAGCACAATAGCATGAACTTTTATTAAAAAATATATCGGTTATATTCATGTATATTTTATTTATGTATTATTTTATTTATATTCAAATATATTTTGTTATTTATTTTGTTACAAATATAAATAAAATATATCCTTTAGTATTAAAATGTTTATTATTTATATAGTTTTATTTATATTCCAGTGTATTTTTTGTATATTATCTTATATACATTATATTATATTATATAAATAAAATATATTCTTTAACATTAAAACATTCATTTATATGTTATTCATATATTGTTTAATTTGTTCATAAAATTAATAAATAATATAAATAAACTATATTTGGTTATAGGTCAAATAATTGTATTTATTTTATGAATAACTTAAATAATATATCATGGACACATGCACATTTAAAAAAAAATTTTTTATTTTATTTTATGAATAAATTAAATAATATATAAATAAAATATATTCTTTATGATTTATTTTCATTTATTTTTATTTTATTCATTCTATGAATAAATTAAATACTATATAAATACAATCTATATTAATAAAAATAAAATAATAGAAAATTTCACATATGGAAGTCATGTTTCTCTTAGTGTTAAGTAAACGGTTTCTTTTTCTGCTTTGACAGGACGGAAGACAATTGTTTGATCAAGAGCTCTACAGCAACTTTTCAGTAAACTGCTCCAGGCCATACTTTATCACATTTGCTGGAGATGTAAGTATTCAGATCTTGTGCCTACATGCCCTTTGTGTTTATGTGCCATCATCATCATTAAGGGCTTGTGCTTATGTGCCATCATGGACACAGACTGATAAAGTTAGAGTTAAAATCAACATAAACATGAAATTGAATTCATTTGCTTTGGTCTTATAATGCACGATTCATCCATGCACTTTATCCTCGAAAAAGTTTGTCTTCATAATCTTTTGTAGAATGTAAATGTAAACATTTTTTCTCATTCAATATTGTTTTACTCTAAAATGTGATGCATTAAAAAAGTAAAATAAGTTGCAAATGCCATTTTGTGTTAATTTTGAAAGATTCAAGTTCATCAGTGCAAGGCTTTTTCCTGTTTGAATAACTCTTCTGAATCATCTATGTTTTGATTTATGACTTATTGTCTGTCTGGAGTGTATATAAAGCATCTTTAATGTGTGTTTGTCCTCAGACGTGCCAGATTGGTCTCAATTTTGCCAGTGAGGAGGAAGCCAGGCGATTCAAGTCTGCTGCCAATGAACTTCAGAATAGAAAAGGGAGGAAAACCGGTAAATACAACAGCATATCAGCTTGTTTCTGTCCTTCACTTCATAACAGAGCTGTGTCTCTATGTATTCTGCTGGAAAAACATCATCTGGTTTTCTTCTGACATGATTCAGTCGTTCCCTCTTTATCTTCTTCTGTCACTCTTTTTTTAACATCCCACTCTCCCAGGATTTTCTTCCTCAAACAGTTTCTTCGGTCTGTTTGTGCCACGTCGTGCTCTTTGATGTCTCTGGGTCTGATTGTGTAGGTCTGCTTCTGATTAACTCTGCTCTTTAACCACTTCCTCTCTTTGTGTCGGCTGACTCGGCAACTTATCCCAGGACAAGGAGAGGATTGTACATTTGAGTCTTTTCCCGTACATTTCCGACTAATAATAAACAAACAACTCTGATCTTTCCTACAGCACTAGATTGATCTCAGATCTCACCTTCTTACTCTTTCACTAATAAACCTCACATTTTATATTGCGCAGTGGTGAATTTAGTAGTAATGGTTATCTTTATTTTGTCTTGCAGAAAAAAGACGTGACCCACCTAATGGTAGGTTGTTTACTAATGAATTACACAAATGTTAATTCTTTCTACACTAAACTTTAAACATGACTGACAAAGTTTCAGTTAAAATGTATTTATGTCTCCCCACATGATTTGAAGATATGTGTTTATTGATACAGAACAAATGTTGAATAATCAGATTGCAAAAGAAATGTCCAGGTTACAATTTGCTAAATCAAAAAGAAACAAAATTGGAAATTATATTTTGCTAGGGAAAAAAGCCTATTTTTAAGGTCATTAAAGTTTTGTATTCACAGTTTGGCCCAAAATTTTCATTACTATAAAATTAAATTGAATAAAATTCTGCCATTCTGTATAGCTACATTTTATATTTACAAATGTCATTTATTAAATGTATTAAATTACATATAAAATTAAATTTAAATGTGATAAAACTAAAATGTATTTTATTCACTGTCAAATGTTTAGTTTATTATAACATAGTGCCACAATACAATATCTATATATATATATGTATGTGTGTATATGACAAAATAATAATAATAATAATTATTATTATTATTATTATTCTACATACTTTTTATTTATTTTATTTTTTTACTATGGGCTGAAATATGACTAGGGCATGTCTTGACAGTTTTCCTGCAATTCACCACATAATTTTAAATGCATATAAGCAAACATGGTAGCAAATGTAATTTCCAAACATACACACCATCCCCCTCATGTGCTGTCAAAACTTGATCTTCACAGTGGTGATGGTCTTTTAACTGTAAGGCCCCAAGGGGCTGTCAACTACCCACCCAACTAACATGTTAACTGTCCATTTAGCCGGTTTACCATCCACCCCAAAGGCAAAAATCCAGCTATACCGGGAAAATCTGGCTCCCGAGTCACTTCCATCCTATAGACGAGCAATGCTGAAGCTTTGAAGTAACATGAGGTTTCACCAAATCAGCCATATACATTTATTTACAAATATATTTTGACTTCAAATGTCTGCTTTTTAAACAAAACAAGACTATTTTGGGTGGTGCTGGTGCTGTTAACACCCAAAAGTGGATCATTGAGGGACTGTGTAGGTGATTCAGGTATACGTGACCACCTGACATCCGTTTGATGTCTGTGGATGAGCAACAATATAAATATTAGACCTTTAGTTAATCTGAGAGGATTTTTTCTGCTGGTTATGTGAATGTACTAGTTGGTCAGCGGTTTTCCTTCTCATAATTTTGTGCCACTTACAGTCACCTGGTACTGTCATCCGGCTCAGGTGATTAGCCCCCCCTGTCTGCGTGGAGGGTTTCTCATTGGTGTTGAATTATAGCGTGTCCTTATCACACCGTGCTTAGAAGAACCCAGGAGATTTGCGGCAGTTTATTGCTGGCTTTAACGGTTATGTAAAATCCAGTGGTGGTGTATAATTTGTTGGGATTAAAAAGAGGCGGGACTTTATGGCTGGCTGCAGCCTTCAAATGCTGGCAGAGAAAAGCCTGATCAGACCTGCGGCGTGGGCATTCACATGTGTTCAGAGATGATGTTCTGCACCACCTTTTTGTCCGCGCCGACTGATGAGATACTTGATGGGGCTTCGGATTTGGGATTTATTTACAAATATATTTTGACTTCAAATGTCTGCTTTTTAAACAAAACAAGACTATTTTGGGTGGTGCTGGTGCTGTTAACACCCAAAAGTGGATCATTGAGGGACTGTGTAGGTGATTCAGGTATACGTGACCACCTGACATCCGTTTGATGTCTGTGGATGAGCAACAATATAAATATTAGACCTTTAGTTAATCTGAGAGGATTTTTTCTGCTGGTTATGTGAATGTACTAGTTGGTCAGCGGTTTTCCTTCTCATAATTTTGTGCCACTTACAGTCACCTGGTACTGTCATCCGGCTCAGGTGATTAGCCCCCCCTGTCTGCGTGGAGGGTTTCTCATTGGTGTTGAATTATAGCGTGTCCTTATCACACCGTGCTTAGAAGAACCCAGGAGATTTGCGGCAGTTTATTGCTGGCTTTAACGGTTATGTAAAATCCAGTGGTGGTGTATAATTTGTTGGGATTAAAAAGAGGCGGGACTTTATGGCTGGCTGCAGCCTTCAAATGCTGGCAGAGAAAAGCCTGATCAGACCTGCGGCGTGGGCATTCACATGTGTTCAGAGATGATGTTCTGCACCACCTTTTTGTCCGCGCCGACTGATGAGATACTTGATGGGGCTTCGGATTTGGGAGGTTGCCTGGCTCCCCTGCAGTGCCTCGTACTCCCGCAGGACGAGCTGTACGGTCCGTTCTCAGACCCCGCGGCTAACCTACAGATCGCGGCTAACAGGCACAGCGAGCGCACCTGTGTGGTGATGGGTAAAATCCTCCTGAACGTGGGTTTAGGGGGTGGAGACATTAGCGGACGCTGTAGCCCGTCGTTTTTACTCTCGCCCGCTTACAGTGTCGAGCGCGAGGACGCAGGTAGGTTGTGACCTGAGATGCTTCGTGAAGTTTCTCTGAAGACTTTGAAATGGTTGGACGAGGTGCTTTATTGGCCGGTTTAGTCCTAATGCAGTTTCTTGTGTTCAGTGCATTTAAGAAAGTTAGTGTTCATTTCAAAAGTGCTTGATTATGGAAGCCTGTCTCTGCCATGGAATAAAACCATTTAAAAACAATTGCAAATTTTTATCTCACAATTTGCACTAATATATAAACTCAGAACTCCGATTACTTTTTTCTCTGAATTCTAAGTTTACATTTCCCAATTCTGCTGTTTTTCTTCTGTAAATCTTTTTTTCCTACGAATTCAGAGTTTAAATCTCGCAATTCTGACTTTTTTTCTACAAATTATGAGTTTAAATCTAAGTTTTTTTTTCTTCTACAAATTCTGAGTTTAAATCTCGCAAGTGACTTTTATTCTACTAATTTTGAGTTTACATCAATTCTGAGGTTTTGTTTGCTAATTCAGTGTTTACATCTCAGAATTCAGAGATTTTTTTCTTTGCAATTGCGAGTTATATCTCAATTTGAAATTTTCTCCTCAAAATTGCAAGAATTTGGAGATATAAACTTCAGAGGGGGAAAAAAATCATAATTGCTCAGAACTGTGAGAATAAGTCAAAATTTGAAAAAATTTGAAAAAATATAGAACTGAGACTTTTTTTTTTTATACCATGTCAGAAACAAGCTTCCAAATTTTTTATCATATCAATTAATGCATAATTTATTAAATGAATTTGATTGTGACTGTTTCAGGACCATCAGGACCTTCAGGACCAACACTTCTAATGGCAACGGTGGACATAAAGAACCCTGAAATCAACAACCAGCGTTATCAAAATAACACTCAAATGAACAACTTTAACCTCCACAGCAACTTCAACAGAAAAGACAAAGGCAAAGGCAAAAACAAGAAGAAGAAATTATCCAAATCTGAAATCGGCACCCCAAGCAATTTCCGGTGAGTTCGCTTTTATGTTCAGACCAACTTGGTTTCACGTTTCCCTTTCTAGAATCGTTGGCTTTGACCAGGTACCGCATACACTTCCTTGTGCACTGAACACTAAAGCTGCTTTATCAAATCATAGTTCCTGTTAGATTCCTGGAAGTTCACTTAGTGTGTTGTGATGCAAAGTATAGTCAGATGGACACTTGTTTTTAATCTCATGTAATGTATCCCAGACGTGGATAATCTGGCCGTGGTATTCCAGGAATCATGTTAAAGTCAGATGAGACTTCCTTAAACCTGAACATGTCTATTGATGTACTTTAATCTCAGTTTTATCTTTATTTGCTTAATGCATTTACAGTTTCTGTGCCGTTTGGTTCATATTTCTTTATTAAAATGTCTTTTTGTTTTTCCAGGCACGTAGGGCATGTCGGCTGGGATCCCAACACAGGCTTTGATGTGAGTATTTTTGCCACTGCATGTTTACATTTAATGCATGTCCTCTTAAAGCACATTTATTTACATGTTTTCGTCATTTTCTGGTTCAGAGGTCACATCAGGATATGATTCACAATTGCAAGTCATCTCTTACACAGTGTTATTGGAGGGGCTGTATCTTTGTAATCCAAAACAATCATTCTCCCAAAAATCAAGGATCATATTTCAGGCGTTGCGCTGGGAGTGTGTATTGGATCTGTGGCTCCAGTTTTTAATTTGAACTCCCCTGAATGAGAGATTACATAAAGGGGATTTATTGGGGGTTACAGTGTGATTTTTCTGGTAGACTGTCTGCAGGAGCAATTTTTCATTATCAGAGGAAAGAATTATTAAGCCCAATGCTATGCGGCACATTCATCTGTTTCTGCGGTTTAAGTATATTCTGAAATATTGTGGCCACCAAAAGTCTTAAATGTTATGTTTAAAAGATGTCTGAATCTCATTGCATTATATAATAAATGAGCAAACTGAGTGACATTTATTTAGCACAAGAACATTTGTATTGGAAATGTATTCGATTTTCAGTGATTTAAAAAATATATTTGGTTATTTCTGGGTATACACTGGAATACACTATTGCTCAAAAGGGTTGGGTCATTTAGAGTTTAAATGTTTTTAAAAGTCTCTTCTGCTCACCAAGGATGCATTTTATTTTATAAAAAATACAGTAAAAACAGTAATATTGAGTAATATTATTACAATTTAAAATATCATCTTTCCATTTGAATATATTATAAAATGTAATTTATTTCTGTGATGCAAAGTTGAATTTTCATTGCATCATTACTCCAGTCTTCAGTGTCACATGATCCTTCAGAAATCATTCTGATAAGCTGATTTGCTGCTAAAGAAACCTTTTTTTATTATTATTAATGTTGAAAACAGTTGTGCTGCTTCATATTTTTGTGTAAACCTTTTAAAAGAACAGCATTTATTTTAAATAGAACTCTTATGTAACATTATAAATGTCTTCACTGTCACTTTCGATCAATTTAATGCATCCCTTTTGAATTGACGTATTCATTTATCTAAAAAAAAATATTTTTGATAAATGACCCCAAACTTGTGTATGTCCATAGTTAATATAATATAGTGATCTACAAAAGCATGGCAAATTACAAATGAGGAATACTGCGACACAAGCAGCAGAAGTTAATTCTAATTTTTATTTGATTTGTATTCAGATTCTGTCCTCTCATTTGTTGACTTTGGTTTGTCTTTTCTCAGCTGAATAATTTGGACCCAGAGCTAAAGAACCTGTTTGACATGTGTGGCATTTCTGAGGCCCAGCTCAAAGACAAAGAGACGTCTAAAGACATCTACGAATTCATTGAGAAGAGAGGAGGAGTAGAGGCTGTCAAAAATGAACTACGACGACAAGGTGAGTCCAAGAGTTTGCGTACAATTATTGGGTGTTTGAAAGCTCAAATTATTAGAACTTATCTAAGCAAACCTTATCTTATGTTGTACTATAATGAAGTAATGTTTAAATAATTTGTCCTTCAGGACCCCCGAGGTATTGTGGTAGGTTTCTTTCCCCATTTTGCATGAGTCTGCAGTGATAAAATGAACAAACGATCAGTTTTGTGCCTATTAAATGGGAACTGCAGTGGCCCAATCAGAAGCCTTGCATCCAGTACTAAAAGTCTGCTGTGGGCTGATGTTGTGTGTATCTTTATAGATCATATTTGTAGCACCTCAATTCCAAACCAGAGTTGGCGTTAAGACCTTAAACACTTCAAAACTAGACCTCCAAATTCTCAGATCCACACTGATCCCTATTCGTTTAAGACAGGCTGAATTAAAAAAATAAATAAATAAAAATAAGCCACTTTATTGCAGAAGTCAATTTACAAGATCAACACTCCAGCTCTGGTCAGATGTTTGAAGAACATCTCTAATGTCTGAGATTTTCCCAGTCTAACTTATTCAGAGTCAGTATTTGTATTAGCACTGGTTTGCTGGAATAAGTTCAGCTGTGAATGAACACAATGCATCCTACGTGAAGCTGCTACAGCTGCTTTCTCCATCTTGTGACGAATTCAAGAACCCTGGAGTGAAACTTATCTCTAAGTTGGGTTTGACTTTGAAGTGATTGCCTGCATTAGTGAGTTGTTAGACCAGGATATCGGATGTTTAATCGGATAATTTAATTCATTGTTTGGGCGGGCAATATGGCAAAAATGTATCACTTTAACACAAGTACAAACAAGTAACTGTAATACAAGTAAACAAATAAGAGTCATTTTCTTAGCTTTTTTTTTCTTTAAGAAATTCATATTTTTGATTAAGGACGCATTAAATTGACCAAAAGTGACAGTAGGGATGTAACGATTACCGGTTTGACGATAAATCATGATAAAACAGAAACGATTCGATGGCATTTTGTTTTCATCTTCGCTCCATGTAATACCTAAAGGAAGTGTTCTTAATCGCAATACTGCTTTGTCCACGGAGATTACAGGAAACAGCTGTAATTCAGTTTTTCCATAAGCGCCTCCTGCTGTCAGCGAGTGGATTTACAGAGACTTATATTTACATTCAGTTAGATATTTCAACATGCTATTAAACTGTTGTCAGTCAAGTTGTCATTTAAAATCCGAACATCAACGTTCGGATATATACATATTTATTTGCCGAACATGAACACTTTAAAATGTCACGGTTAATTAATCGTAAAGCCTCCGCTACACCGAGTGTTTCTGTTGCACAGAACGGAAACAAAGTTACACTAGCGGTGCACCAGCTTAAAATGCTGTGCTTATCAGAGACACGGAGGCTACTACACACACTAGATGAACTATGACAGACGAACCAAACAGCGATCCTTTATTTCCACCAGGGAAATGCCTGAAGTCGATAGTGTGGGACCATTTTGGGTACACCAAGAATGACCAGGGTGTCATTTGTGCTGTATTATTGGTTACTGTGTTATTTCTCTTTCTAAAGGCAGCAATAAATAACACTTTATTATCTAAAGAGTGTCCATGTGATTTTATACATTAATAATTTTGTGAAATGAAAAAATGCATAATAACCGTCATAATCGTGAAACTGTGATTATTCCTCAGACAATAATCGTACCAACACAATCTATAATCGTATGTGTCGGTACTTTTTTAACATCTCCAGCACATTTTAATGATACCGTGATAATACTGGTAACTGTGATCATTTTGGTCACTCTAATCGTGATAAGAAATTTTCATACCGTTACATCCCTAAGTGACAGTAAAGACATTTATAATGTTACACAATATTTCTATTTCAATTCACAGTGTTTCTATTTTAAATAATCACAACTCCGCTCCTCCTCCCCCACCTCCTTCCAGAGGCCGAGGAGCGCCGCCTCCACCGCCGCCATCAAGAGTGCCCACCTCCGCTCCTCCTCCACCTCCTCCATCCCGACCAGGTATAGGCGCACCTCCACCTCCTCCCCCCAGCAGAGGGACCGGGTCGGCTCCCCCGCCACCTCCTCCACCCCAGCCTGCCTCCCTGTCTCCGCCGGCCCCTCCTCCTCCCCCTTCAATGGGCGGAGCACCACCGCCGCCGCCTCCTCCGGGACCCCCTCCTCCCGCACCTCCTCCGCTACCGGACGGGGATTTAGGGGAGGCGCCGGGGGGTAAATCTGCACTCCTGAACCAAATTCGAGAAGGGGCGCAGCTGAAGAAAGTGGACCAAAACAACAAACCGCCTGTGTCCGGTGGCGGTGGCGGTGGCCGTGGCGCACTATTAGACCAAATACGACAGGGCATTCAGCTTAAAAACGTAAGTACAGTGCTTTTATTTTTAAACCAATGAGAAATGACGGAAAATGTTTGCAAAATATTTGGGAGGGGAAATATTTTTGTGATGCATAATCATCATATCATATGAATACAAATACCTAAATCAAACAGTTCCTGACACAGTTGTCCATACATTTTATTTATGTATGTATGTATGAACACTACTGTTTAAAAGTTTGGGGTCAGTAAGGTTTTTTTTTTATTTTTATGAATACTTTTATGCATGAAATTGATCAAAAGTAACAGTAAAGACTAAAAATGCTACAAAAGATTCTAATTTTGAATAAATGTTTTCACAGTTCACAATTTTAGTTTTGACAAAAATATTAAGCAACACAACTTGTGTTCACCTCTTCAAACTTTGATAAGAATATTATTTCTTAAGAAATGTTTCTTGAGCAGCAAATCCTCATATTAGATTTCTGAAGGATCATGTGACTGAAGCCTGGAGTAATGATGCTGATAATTCAGCTGAATTTGCTGAATTTTAAAGTATTTTTTAAAATAAAAGTTATTTTAAATTGTAATAATATTTCACAATATTACAATTTTTACTGTATTTGTAATCAAACAAATGCAGCCTTGGTGAACAGAAGAGACATTTTTTTAAATAATCTACTGACCCCAAACTTTTGAACACTAGTCTAGTAACTAGAAATAACTGAATTATGGAAATTATCTAAGAAAATTATAAAATATAGTGAAAGTTAAAAATAAAATTAATAAAAATAAATAAATGATTAGTGCATGTTCTCTTCCTTACATTTTCGAATTTTTATTATTTTAGCAATTCTATTCATTGACAAGACAAATACCGGAGATTTTAAGCTTAAATATTAGCTGGTACTTGTCTTGGCAATGAATCAGTGACATGCATTTCCATTACTTATTCAATTTAATTTATTTTTGTGTAGCAATATTACCATCTCTTAGTACAATAGTTCTATACTGAAAATAACTCTTGATTTTGGTCATTGTTTTTTACCCCCGTCCATCATGAGAACTGCATGGCATGCAGGTGAATAAAGCCATTCTGATCATGTGACATTTTCAGGTACCGGACACTACAGACTCGGCTCCGCCCACTTCTGCCCCCTCATCTGGGATCGTGGGGGCGCTGATGGAGGTGATGCAGAAGAGGAGCAAAGCGATCCATTCTTCAGGTATGTGCCGACCTGAGCTTTATGACAATTACAGTCATTTAGACTTGTAATAGACGTCTTACTTGATTAAAAAGCAGAAAACTTAACATTCAATCCGTGGTTTTGTAGATGAAGATGATGATGATGATGACGCAGAAGATTTTGAGGATGAAGATGAGTGGGATGACTGATGACCAGGGCTGCCCAAAAGAATTAAGGCACTACATTGCTCTAGATATGCTAAATCTTATAAAATTGTAATGTAAATGGATGACCGATTTGTGTACATTTTTGTTGCCTTCATGCTTTTTTTGTATTAATCTGTGCAATACCTCATTTAATCTGTAAAGGTTTGTCATGCATCTCATGTAAAGGTTTTATTTCCCTCTCCTGGATTCACGTGCAATTTTACATCAAGTTGTCTTGAATTGTAGAGTTGAATGTTTTGGGGTCTTTTGTTTAGTTTTTTTCTTTGTCATTCTTTAAATGAACATCGACTCTAAAGAACAAGATGAGCGAGTCTTAAAATGTTGATATGGTGACTCAAAGCAAGAACACTATTTTCATACTTTTCTCTTACCTTTTCTTATTCAGAACATAGTTTAGCGCTGTTATTTTCTTAAAAACCATATTTAGCCCCATTGCTAATTTGTAAATTTGCTCCGAGTTTGAGTCGCTTTCTATTTTTGCACGAATCAAAAAGAAAAAAGTGGGGAAACGGCGCAATACGGCGGTTATGTTTACACATTGTGTGCTATAGCTACTGTCAGGACTCTCCTTAACATTAGATGTGAGAAACACTACAGTTATTAGAAATAACCTATTTGCATATGCTAGTTTGCATTTTACTGGCATTACAACAAATTTCATGGGCACTTGTTTTTTTGTTGTTGTTTTTTTCCCCCTGTTGGTCATACTTCAAAATTTAATGTTCATGTGTGCCATTGAAAAAAAAAATCCTGAAATGGACGTTTCGTACATTCTCAATGTTTTACTAATAAAGCACTGTGATGCTATACTAATTCAAAAAGAGCGGCTCTGGCTCGCCTGATGATCCGCAGTGGGTCGGATCATATACTTTCACTGTTTTTAACAGTGTTATAGAGCAATTCAAATATGTTTTCCAGTTTTTATCCTTTGTTCAACCAGGGTTGCTTTGCATTGAGACTTGAAACCTTTGAAATGAGGTTGAAAAAGAATTATTCAAATTGTACACTCAAATAAATGTTAATATTTACAGAACCTTTGTGCATTTGGTTGTTTTACTTGGAGAAACCATGTGGTAAATCTGACTAAAACCTTGCAATCCAGTTTTCCAAGTAGGTGATTCATAACATTTTCTTGAGTGAATAAATAAAGTCAGGGTTTCTGTGGGTCTTAAAAAGTCTTAATTACCCCTTCCACAAATTAAGGCCTTAAATCAGAGCAGAAATTCTTAATTTCATAAAGTTTTGGCATAAAATGTTGCATGCACTGAAAAAAAAAAAATCTTCCTCAGTATTTTGTCTTGTTTTCAAGTACAAATACCTAAACATGTTTAAATCAAGATAAAAGTATTTGAGATTCAAATAAAGTCTTGTTTTCTGAGAAATGTAAAAAAATAAATAAGTGTGTTTATGCTTAAAACAAGAACAAATATCTGTCAACTGGGTGAAAAAGAAAGAAAAAAAACTTCCATTTGAAAATGTCATTTCTGGCCCTATTGGCAGATACTTAATTTTTATTAATTAATTTTTTTCCCTTGGATTTTCTTCAGTTGTATTTCGTTTATTCCTTACGTTTTCTTTACTGGTGTAAAAATGTTTTTAAAAGTCTTAAATTTCCCTTCACAAAACCTGCAGAAACCTTGCTAAGTGAACTTAACCACTGGTCATAAAATTTTGCTAGATACGAAGTTAATACTAGACGATTATTTTTAAAACCTGCAGCCTGATATGGTATTACTTTGGTTTAGCTGGGCAGCTGATTGCATCTGACATTTTGTTTTGTTCTTATTTTTTTTTAGAGCTCTAAGGTTATTTGGCAGACATTGAGCATGCAAATCAGCTGAATGATTTCATTGCCATATGAAATGATATTGTTTCAGAATGGACTGGATCATTGCCATGGGGTTTTTTTTTTTTTTTTT